CTGGGCGACAGAGTGAGACTCCAACTCAAAAAAAGAAAAAAAAGAAAGGGATTGGCAGTATCCAGAAACCGCCAGGGGAGTAGTGGGGATGAGGACACATAACATTAATAAGGATACTTTATCTCAAACCAGGCAAAATAGGACCAAAGGTAGACCCAAACTTTACTGTATGATGACCACTTGTATACCTCATCCTGAATTGTTCACCACATCTTAAAAATAAAATAAATATAAAAAAAAAAGAACCTCGAAGTTAAAGGGAGCTTAGTTAGTGCTCCAGATATTTGACTGCCTAATGCACAGGAAATTGAAGCACAGTTGTCCTGGTAAATATGTTATCTTGTAGAGGAGGCCCCCACACTGCTTTGAAATGAAAAGAGGTTTTCATTTTTTAAGTTGTTTAATAGCTTACATCAGGAGATCTTGAGCCCACACAGCAAACTATTAAGTGAGGAGAACCAAGACTTCTGTGAGAAATAGTGGTAGAGTCAGAATAGCAGGAAAATGTACAGTGCAAGGACCATTCATTTACTTATCCAGCAGGTGTGTCTTCATTACCATGTCTATTCAAAGCATTGGAAAGACTGTCTTAAAGATGAGAGGGACTGGGCACAGTGGCTCACACCTGTAATCCCATCACGTTGGGAGGCAGAGGTGAGATGATTGCCTGAGGCCCAGGTTCAAGACCAGCCTGGGCAAAATGGCAAGGTCTCACTCTACAGTAAATCAAAAAATTAGCTGGGCATGGTGACGCACACCTGTAAGTTCCAGCTACTTGGAAGACCTAGGCAGAGGAATCGCCTGAGCCCAGCAGGTCAAGGTTGCGGTGGCCGTGAGTGTGCCACTGCACTCCAGCCTGGGCAACAGAGTGAGACTCTGACTCCAAAAAAAAAAAATGAAAGAGAAAGGGAAAAATATTACGATAATGATTCTGGGCATTAATGATTGAATATGCCCGAGGAGGAAATGTTAAACATACTGAGCCAAAATGGAATAAGTATCTTGGCTTCCTTGCCTGGAAGTGTTAGACTGACTACATCGGCAATTTTGAAAAGTATTTGATGGGGTCCTGAGATCCTTTGGAGATACCCCAGCTGTCAAACTGTTACAAGGAAGAAAAGGCCAACTCTAAGAGTATTAGGCTCCCCATTGCCCTCTACTTACTTTTATCTATCATATGTGTGGTAATTTTACATAATACTGTGCTTGAGTTGGACCTGCAGGATGGAGGTTATTCTGTGAAAAGAAGTATAGAAACCACTGATGAGAGATCTCTAAGATCCCTTCCAGCTTTAGAATCTATGATTCAGTAACTGGCTGACTTAAACATCCCCTCTAGCTAAATTGTATGAGTCTTAGATTTGCTTCTCTTGCTTTGTTTTTCTGGCAAATAATTATCACTAAGTTAGGTTCTACGTAGACTGAAGGATCATATAGTTTTCCCATTTTCGTAACTTAAGTACATAGTGCCATATTTTAAAAGATAGACATTTCATTTACTAAATACTTTGTAGGCTTTATTTATTGAACAGAGTACAGGCAAGTGTATAGCCAGATGCCTTGCTTGGACTGTCTTCTGATCTAAGGCATGAATCACATCCTGGTTTAAATGTTTTAAATCTTAGTATTTTGGAATCCCATTCTAAACCAAAGAATAGCAAATTAGTATATTTTTTGAAGCTGACATTCTTAATACCTTAAACTTCAACTGATGCTGCTGAAAACAAAATAAACAACATGCATATCAGTGCCCAGCAGATAGTGAATTCTCAATAAATGTTTACTATCTTAAAACATTATTACATCCATATTTAATAACCTTCAGTTCAAAAAGCTTTCAGGCTGGACTCAGTGGCTCAGCCTATAATCCCAGCACGTTGGAATGCCGCAGAGAGTGGATTGCCTGAGCCAGCAGGTTCAAGATCAGCTCAGGCCAACTTGGTGAGACTTCATCTCTACAATAAATCAAAAATTAGCCGAGCGTGGTAGCACGCACCTGTAGTTCTGGCTACTTGGAAGGCTGCGGTGGAAGGATCGCCAGAGCCCAGCAGGTCAAGGCTGTGATGGCCATGAGCATGCCACTGCACTCCAACCTGGACGATGGAGTGAGACCCCAAATCAAAAATTAAAAATTTAAAAATTAAAAAAAAAACAAAAAGAGCTTTCATATATAGTGTATTTCATGTTTTCTTCCAATAACTCTCTGAGGATAGTGTACCATATTTCACTAATGAGAAATTGCAGAGCCACTGTAATAAGGAAAAGGCAAGTATGGAAATGCTACCATTGCTTCTACCTGCCAAATACAGATTAGTGTGAGCTTTTTGAGAGACTCATGGCTTGCTTTATCTCTGACTTCTCCAGTTGTACCCATTTCCTCATGTATTGTGCATTTAATTATGTACTCTAGGCTAGAGAGAAGACAGACACAAATCCCTATCTTTATTGAGTTTGCATACATTCTTTGTTTTCCCTCAGTTTGCAACATTTGGTCTACATGTCTCACAGCAAGTTTGGAAAAATGTATGTAAACCATAAGAGGAAAAATAGTAAGCTTTACTTTAGCAAATGACTTTTTAATTTGATAAAGTTTTTATAGTTCTAACATCCTACTGTGATTAAATAACTTATACTTTAGAATGTAGTATGCTAAGGTCAATATGAAACTAATCAGAACTTTTCTTAAATAGCAAAGCACCGATGTTCATATGGTTAGTGATAGCGATGGAGATGACTTTGAAGATGCTACAGAATTTGGGGTGGATGATGGAGAAGTATTCGGTATGGCGTCATCTGCCCTGAGAAAATCTCCAATGAGTGAGTATTAATAGCTCTTTGGGTCCAGTATTATAATTCTCCCTTCTAATAAACAAATTTATGAAGAATGGTGAACTTAAAACATCTCTTACTGACCTCTGGGCTTGGAGAGATAAAATATAGAGAGGGCATTCTTCATTTGAACCAGAGCCTTTTGAATTCTGATTTTATTAAACTCAGAAATGCCCCGTGCATTAGAAAATTTCATTAAAAATGCAAGGGAGTGTAACTTTTGTTTTACATGCATAATTAATTATGACTCTCTACTTTAAACCTAAAGATTGATTAGCAAATAGCTGTACTTTCTGTTACTAGTACCTGTTTCCCCACATCGTATTAGAGATATCAGTTTTAAAAGTAGTAATACTACTTTTCCATTCACTGGTACCCATACTGGGAAGAAAAAAAGTAATCTGAATGTGCTCTCTCTCTCACTTCCACTTATGAGATGCATACTATAGAACGACAAGCAATGCTATATGCAAAATGACAACTAAAATAAGTCCTTAAATGACTCATTTATTTCGTGAAATTAGAGAACTCCTGTGGGCAGAAGTGATAGATGTGATATTTACATAACATTGACTATTTTCCCAATTAATGAGATCTTTAAAATAATATCAGACCCTTTAATATAATTTAGTCATAAGCTGTCTATTTCAAGAAAACATTGAAATCCTAAATGACAACTGGCTATATTTTAAATGCTTAGCAGAATTATGTCAGTTGGTTTTCCAAAATTTATGAGTTTGACTTTTTTTAAGGTTCTTTTTTATTCTGGTTTGATGAAATCTAATATATGTTAAGTTAAAATGTCCCCTCAGATATATCACAGAAGCTAAAATTTAATTTTATTTCCTCTTTATTGATTAAATATATTTCTTATATGTGGGATTAGATGTTATGTGGTTTGTTTTTTGTGTCTATTTGTTTTGTTTTTTTTGTTTTTGTTTTTTCTTTTGTTTGTTTTTTAGTGCCAGAAAACGCAGAAAATGAAGGAGATGCCTTATTACAATTTACAGCAGAGTTTTCTTCAAGGTAGGGTTAGGACATTAACTATATAAAATTGATGTTCTTTTATGCTACTGTGATTTTTCTGGGACAATTTTAATCATAGACTGTTTAAAATTTATCCTTTTAGTATTCAAATGATAAATTTATCAATTTATACAGCCCTGTTAGTAAAACATATACTGTTCAATGTGAAATAACAGGTAAACCACTTATGACAGTTCAGAGATATGTTCAACATATTCTTATATCTTGATAGAAGATCAATAAATGGATCTTAATTTAATATTTTTATTTTATTCCCAAAAGGACTAGGATATAGGATGCTAATTTTTAATATATCCTAGGGTAGGAAAAAAATCTTTCAATATAATATTAAATTTTTAAAAATTTAAAAATTTTAAATATTAAGTGAATTTTTACATTTTTATTTTGTAATTGTTTGGCATTTCTTCTTTTAAGAATCTAATATAAAATGTTTTATATGGATTTGATAGTTTGCTGATGTACTTATTTATAAAGAGGATTAATATTTAACCCTCAATTTGGTATAAACTATGTTTCCTTTTGTGCTCTTTTCTGATGCAATATATAATATAGGAACTTGGAAAGAAATCATTTTTTTCCTCTGTGTTGGAATTCTAGAATAAATGAACTAAAGGGAGAAGTTAATGCTAATGTAACTAGGAAAATCTTATGAAAGTGAGTAACCAATATTTTATAGCACTTATTGAATCCTTTTGCTAGGTGTACGTAAAATTCCAGTGTTCTAATATATCAGTATAGGCCAAGAAGAATTCTAAAAACTAATGAAGCTCATTTCCAAACTTTTAAAGAAATGTTTTAATTTCTTTACATTAGCCCCAGCATTGACTTAATAGTCATTGGTTACACTTGTGAAACTTTGAAGTGAATTTGAAATGTATTTTAATTAATAGAGTCAATTTTTCCTATAGATATGGTGACTGCCATCCTGTATTTTTTATTGGCTCATTAGAAGCTGCTTTTCAAGAGGCCTTCTATGTGAAAGCCCGAGATGTAAGTAGTCTTACCTTTTCTGATTAAAAAGTGCATCCCATAGGTTTACCACCAGACCTGAGGCAATGCTTAACGGTTTCTGTTTTTGTTTTGAGATTGAAGACTTGATTTGTTTCTGGTTCATCTACCAACCTAATCTTCACCAAGACACCCATTTTGGAGGGGGAATAGTGTAATAGAGTACTGCCAGCACCTTCAGAAGGCTTTGTCAAGGATATTTTTATAGGGGGAACAAAAGGTAGACATGCTCATAAGGGACCAGGCTGCATATTATTTGAATGACAGTTATGTGAATGACAAGTTCTTGATAAGAGGATTTGTTCATCCATCTTTTCCTAAAATTATGTAATAGTATATATCTAATAACTGGAATATTTTTCTCCCAAAAATCACTTTGGGAAAAAAAAAAAAAAAGAAAGAATCTTTTTTTTTTTTTTTTTTAGTAGAGATGTGGGGTACAAGTCAGGATTAGGTACATAAGTAATCTACGTGCAAGTGAACTTTGGGCCTCCAACTGATCCTCATTAGAAATCAACTTTGTGATCTTGAAATCTAGTAGGTTAAAGTCTGTAACAAGAATTTAAAAGGTACATTTTAAGCAAGAAGTGTCTAATAATTCTATTTTTATACTGACACAGCAATCAAGACTTTAGTAATCTGGCTTCTGCCTGTCTGTATAGCTTCAGCTCTTCCCATTCCCTACCTTACACTTAATAAAACTAGCAATAGTATACCATTTATATTTCCTTATAACCTTACTTTTCTTTCATACTTCCCCACTGCTAGAAATGCCTTTCATCCAGCTCTTTGCCTGGATGACTCCTAGTCCTCCTCTGAGACTTCATCTTTCCTGGCTCCCATTGGCTGCTCCCACCCCTTTAGTACTTCCCAGTGAAACCCTCTGCTCATCTCTTATTGTTATACTTAACACATTGTTTATAATTATCTACTTTATATTTGTCTTCCCAGGAAATTTTATTTTCTCTTGTCAGGGACTATGTCCCTGCACATAGTAGATAGAAACTCAGTAAATATTTAGTGAAAGAAAGAAGAAAGAAAAAAAAGGAAGGAATAGTGTATACATGGAGTAGTGGGAAAAGCTATTAGAATTAAAGAAGGTTAGGAACTTTGAGATCAGAGTGCAAAGGTGCCTCTGGGGTTTCTAGTTTCATTTATGTTAAATTCTGATACAAAGAAAAGTTCATTTTAAAATAAAATTTAAAAATAGAATTCCAAGATGATAATTAATAATCAAACTTAGGCCAGGCTCAGTGGCTCAGCCTGTAATCCCAGCACTTCGGAAGGCCAAGGCGAGTGGTTTGCCTGTTCCCACAGGTTCCAGCCCGGGCAACTTGGTGAGACCTTGTCTCTACAATAAAAAATAAAAATTAGCCAGAAATGGTGATGTGCACCTGTAGTTCTAGCTACTTGGAAGGCTGAGGCGGAAGGATCGCCAGAGCCCAGCAGGTCGACGCTAGGGTGGCCATGAGTGGGCCACTGCACTCCAGCCTGGGCGACAGAGAGAGACTCCAACTCAAAAAAAAAAATCAAACTTAGAGTATCTTTGATGGTTTAATGAATTTAGATTAAGAAAAAAATTATTTATACACTAAGAATAGCAGAATACCCCATTAAAGGTCATCTTAAGCATTTATCTTATAACTATTAAAATTTATACAAAATAGATATTATTTTTGAACAAATGCTTGTTTATGGTCATATATGTTTATAGTTTTCATATATAAACAAGTTTGTGTTTTCTGAAAGCAAAGAGAATGTATTCTAAACAGATTAAATGTTAAATTTATGTTATTTCTGCATTTTTAATGGTTATGTTTAAAGGTGTATGTTTATGGATATTTAGCATAAAATTCAGTTGTGTAGTAATTCTAACTTTTTTCATCTTTTAATATTAAAGAATCATTTTCCTTTTTTAATTAAATATTTTTTATTTTAAAATTATGGGGTACATTTAAGGGTTAGGTATACAGATATGCATCATTCAGGCACCCTTGTTGATAAGGGGTGTCTCCCCGTCCCCAGACAGATATTGACTGCCGTTAATCCCACCTCCCTTCCCCTCCCTG